CATGAGTTTGAGCAAGCTCTGGGATTTGGTGATGGACAGGGAAGCCGGGTGTGCTGCAGTCCATGGGGCTGCAAAGAGTCACACATGACTTAGTGACTGAACTGAACTGAACACCAACTTATTACCCTTGCCTGGCAACGTGCCGCTTGAATGAAGTGGGGAATATAATTAAAATATTCATTTGTTGTCACAGCACCTTTCACTCAATACATGACCAAATCATACACAGTGTGCATTACATTTGTAATTATAGTATTACATATAAAAGGTGTTTATAGCTTTGCTAGTACAAGGAATGAAATGAGGCTATATCCTTTAATGGTATCTTATAGTTAGGTCTAAATTGGTCTAACAGTTTGTAATCTTTTTTTAACATCTACATTATTAAATTTTCACTGTTTTGGATATTCAAGACAACTGGTACTTGTTGCTTCTATGCTATGCTAACTTGGTTCTCAGAACTCTAATCTTTAGCAGAAACAAACTGTCTGGCTGATAGACAAAACTGATTTTTAATGCAAGCCAAAGTATAATAATAAAATGGGAAAAAAATTCTAGATCCTGAAGTTCTAACACAAAGGATTATCTTGAAGACTTTTTCAGAACCAAGAACAAGGATACTTAGAGCTGACAATCTTGAGGAGTTATGTTGAAATATGTACCAGTTACTGATACATTAAAAACAGAAGCAAACCAGACTGGGTATTTTTTACAAGTTTACAAGGGAAAAGCATTTCTTCTGAAATGTTATTCTCTTTTACTAAGCGTTGCAAAGTACCATAATTAATTCTTACGATTCTAACAGTCCTAAAAGCAAGTCATAAAAAAGATATTTACTTGGGAGTATAAATTGGAATGACATTTTGCTAGGGCCACTTGAAAATATTTAGCAGAGTCTAACATGCATACCCACTGACTAAGCAACTCCAGTTTTAGAAATTTATCCTGAGAAAAGTGGCAGTGACACAGATCTAAGGACATTCATTACAGTGCTGTGTGTAATAATAAAAACTGGAGAGCCTGAACATCCAACAACAAGGGACTGACCAAGCAACACGTGGTTCAGCATGTAAGGGAATACTATATGGCCATGATACAGAATATAAACCGAATATCATAAGATTATATATCACAAGACAAAGTATTTATTATACACAGCTGAGGGGGAAAAAGCAAATTATAAGACTGTAGCATTATATAATCTCATCTCTGCTTAAAATATGCATAAGTATGTAGAAGGGCATATATACATGCATAAATTAATACCACTTATTGTTGAGTTTGGGATCACAGGTGATTTACTTCACTTCTTTTGAGAAATCTATACTCTGGTTTTTCTACAGTGAATATATTTTCCTTATATAATAAAAAAATATAAAATCTTTACTTGAGGTGGTGATGGTGGTTTAGTTGCTAAGTTGTATCTGACTTTTGTGACCCCATGGACTGTGGCCTGCCAGGCTCCTCTGTCCAAGGGATTCTCCAGGCAAGATTACTGGAGTGGGTTGCCATTTCCCTCTCCAATTTACTTAAGGCAACCACTGCAATTGTTAGTGTTTTCCTATTCTTATATTACTGAATATCGTATGTACTAAAGGAAAGTGGTGAAGGGGAGAGAGAGAAGAGGAGAAAAAGGGATGAAGGCAGATAGACATTTATACTGTTTTTTATTTTATCATGTATATTTGTTGTGAATTTTAACGTTAATGATCTGCAAAGAAGTGTCAGTGGAACACAGTAGTGAATAGTTAATGTTCACAAGACTGCAGTCTACTCTCATAGACTTAATTTTTTTTCCTTCCTCTTGGAATGCTAATTTTGTTGTATAAGGAGCAGGTGGCTTTCTTTTTTTGTAACTCTCCCTACTGCCTTGTCAGACACAACTCTCAAAACTTTTTTGGGAGCTAACCAAACTTTATCGAACTAAACTCAAAATGGCATATGGACTTCATCTACATGGTCATACAAATCCTTTGGCTGATAACTCCTGCTATGTATCTAACTGGTTTTATAAAATCCATGTTTGAAGACGGTTTCTATAGCTAGAAGAGTGTGTGATGTTATGGGATGAAGGATGGGAAGAAGGAATGTCATGGCAAAGAGGTTCCTTTAGCTGCTACACTAGAGTCTGGTGCCCGTCACTACCACTACCAAATATTGGCAGTATATACCCCTACAAAGGAAGAATGCTAATCGTTGTGAGTGAAAAATTTCTATCACGCTTTTCAGCTTAGATCTACTAATAACACTTTCTTAAATGCCTTGTTAGACAGTGAAATCTGGGAATAATTATCAAACACCATATACGGTGTTTACAATAGAATCATATTTCTTTTCTTTCTCTCCCCTGCCCACTTTTTTTTGCATAAAAAGTAGAACGCAGCTGAATGGTACCCAAATGTCTGTTGTATACCATGCCAATACAGCAGCTCGGCCAAAAATGCGAATAGAACAGTTTGCCAAGTAAAAGAAAACATAACAAATTGGTAATGGTTTCTATCTTGACAGAAAATGAAAATGATCCCTCAATGTGTGGTCACTCATGCGGACACATAAAAATGTCTTAGAAGCAATCATTTTACCTCAGATAACAGACCCTGGCAGTGTAGTACAGCACTGGCTGACTTTCACTTCTTAGAAAAGTGGCAAGCGTGACCTACAAAACAGTCTGGGAACCATGTAATTTATGCATAACACACATGCATATGCCATGCACTCATAATATTTGCTATAAATCATTCTGAATATAAGACATCTTTTCCTAGTGGAATATATTTTATGAGAGATGATCTAAATCACCAGGGATTTGATAAAGCTGAACTGGTTTATACTGGTTTATTTATGAACAGAAGTTATGCCACTGCTTGTCAGGTTACAAAATTTCAATAGTTTACACTGCAACAGAAAGGTGGTAGATAAGAACCCCAGATATTTTAATTAGATGTTAGAGTAAAAAAATACAAAAAGTATGTAGGTACCTAGCATAGACTTCTGACATTCTGGTTAGGTAGCTGTAGTTGGAAGCAGAAAGGAACCCCTTGAAGACCTGGTAATGGTTCCTGTATCCTAATCCCTCTTCCTTTACCACTTATTTTTGTTTCCTAGATGGAGAACTAGCCAATATCATTGACCTGTGATTATTCCCCCCGCCACCCCCAATCTCGTGAAGTTTCCCATCTGTTTTAACTTCCTAATGAGGGTGTTAGAATATTGACTGTATTGTGAAATCACATCAAAAATAAGAATGACACTTTGAAAAACACTAATTGATATCTGATGCTAATGAGGGATTCAAAAGGACATGGAACCAAGGGACTAGGAAGAACCTTGGGAAGTTAAATGGTCTTGCCAAGTTGAAAGTAAATTTGAATCCTGTGGGTTATGAGTTTCAAATGAAATTTCTGGGTTTAAATTTGTTGGTGACTTTCCTGTTCAATAAAAAAGGACTTAAATGGCTTATAAAAAGGTTAAAAAAACTTATTGGGCATCAAACTGCTCTTACAAAACACCATCTTGATGAGTTAAGTGTAAATGAATCAGAAACACATGGATCATATTTCCTTAAAAAATGCATATGGATTCAAAAATAAGAGGAAGAGGACTTGGCAAAACATTTTTTTGTGTGTGGTGGCTGAACCCAAAACATTTGCAAGATATTTTGAGACATTCAAGGAATCCAAAATAAAACTAAACCTGTCCAGTCATATAAAAAAACAGAAAGTTCTTTGCAATGTGCATTTATCTCTGTGGGTCACTCACCACTCACTGAGCCTTCACCTTTGGCAAAGAACTATGGGATAAGCCAGCTTCTGTCTTAAGCAACTTTGAATTTAAGTATAAACAAATACACATAAGCAATAGAAACCTATTAAAAGAGACTCAGGGTTTTACAAACATTGGCATCATAACCCAAATCATACAGAAATTATAGACTGAGAAATACACAAGTGCTTTCAGGATCGTATGGTAGGTAAGATTTATCCCATTCAACTCATCATCACCTGGCCCTTTTGACTAAAGTCAGATATAGTTGCACAGTCTTACTTGCTTAAATGTTTTCTTAGTAAGTGTTTTTATGTCCTTTTAAATGTGTGTTCCAGCCCTCTTTCCTCCACCCTCTAGATTTGTGAGTGCTCAACAAATCTTGCTGACTGGTTTCCTGGAGCATGGGAGTGCTGAACAGTGTTTTGAAATGGGGGAGAGATGCCGTTTGGCAGAGGGGAGTGAGGCTGTGATTCTGTGTTGGGGTAATGGCACAGTGTGACAGTTTAGAGGCTCCAGAGAGTGAGTCATGTGTGGGGGTGACCCACTGGCTTGCTTGCAGCAACGTGCCTGAGCCAGGGTGTCATGGGAGGTGGAGGCAGTTAGGTGTGGGGAGGCCTAATATACTACATGTGAAGTCAACTGGAGGACAGAGGAGAATGATTAGAGAAACCACAATTCTTTTTTTTTTTTTCGCCAGTATAGGATAAAGTGTTAAGCACAGGACATTAATCCCTTTAATTCTTATCAGTGTCTTTAAAAGCTGAAAAATATCCAAAGATAAAAATGAGTTAACTATGTATGTATTGCTAGGAGCCAAGAGATCATAAATTTGAAGAGGAACTTAGTAGGATTATGAAATGGACTAACGAGTTCTAAAGTGTTTGTGGGAAAAGTGTAAAAAAATTAATGACTCAGAATTTTTTAAGACTGTTTTCTAGTTGATAAACGTGAGTCTTATCTTTTCCATGATATTAAAAAATTATTTAGGGCAAGGATAGTGTCATATATTTCCTGTGTATTTTCTACTGGATAATACAATAGTGGGAATACACAAAGCACTAAATAAATGCTTACTGAACTGAAATGGAGTAAAAGGATGTTGAGACCATATAAGATGAGAATATAATCGAAGGTAAAGTCTGAAAAAAAAAAAAAGCATGCTATAACTGTTTTAATAGTGTCTCTGCTCTGAGTCCATTTGTTCATAATTAATATAAAGAAATCAAAGGCCTTACCATCCTTCATCATCTTCTACTTCTGTTTCAGAAATGTCATTTTCAGGAGTTTCAGCAATTGCTTGAGTGAGTTTAGATTTAAACTGGTTCAGCAGCGCAAGAGTCTGAAATAACAATTAGGACTGCTAAACTTCCTGATAAGAATAAATATAATTTTAGATGTCATTTCAGTTTGGTCTTAGATTTGGTATCCGTGCATATATTCCTTTTTTAACTTTTTTTGTAACTTTGAAGGCTGCTCTCCAATTTTCCCTGTGATTGATATTCACAAACCATGACATTGCCCTGTTTGCATTTGCACTGACATTTGCCCCCAGGAATATGTGACTATTTCTGATTTGGGGGATATAAACTTGTTTATATAGAAGACATTTAAACTTTAAAATGCATGCTTACTAAGAGCTAAGTTTTTAGGGTACACAAGATATTAACACTTCACTAAGACATGTGAAATCAAAAACAAAACACCACCAACAAAGAACACTTTTCATTGACCAAATTTCCAAAAATGTAAAGATGTCAATGTTGGGAAAGGTGAAATGAATGAACACATTGATTGTTGGAAGGTGGGTAAACTGGAGTGACATCTTTGGAAAGTTTTTTATATGTATCAGAAACAATAAATGCTCATTGCTTTTGATTCAATAATTCCAATCCTGGTAATACATGTAGAAAAATAATCTGAAACACTGAAAATGGCTTATGCAAAAGATGTACACTGCAGCAGTATTCATACAAGTGAAAAAAGGAAATGTTAAATGTCTATTTATAAGAAAATAGATAAATTTGGTAAAAAGCAGTGAATATGTTACACTATTATTAAAACTATATTCATGAAGTATTGTATTGTTAAATGAAAGAAGAAGGATATAACAATCATGTTGAGTATATTTTTATAAAAAAGGGACCAGTCCTCTGATTTTTTTTTTTTTGACTCCCATGCCCTTTACAGGTAAGAGGAAGCAACAAGTGCCTGAAATTTTAATCATATTGTCTCCAGCCATACCTTAACAATTTGTTTCAGAATTTGAGCAGAGAAATCAGAAATTAGAAAAAAAATTTTATTCTATAGTTTTAGAAGATACATAACTGTGAAATGGGATAAAGTACCACCTGTCTAAAAATAAATCAAGTTTCTAATTAAGACAATGGTGCACTGAATTCAGTACTGAAATAGAGTCGACCCCTAAACAGCATGGAGGTTAAGGGCACCCATGCTCTGAGCAGTTGAAAATCTGCCCTCTCTCTACTTCTGTGGTTATGCAACCATTCGTGGTTAGTCCAGGACTGTCGTATATATTTACTGAAAGAAATTTGAGTATAATGGACCCGTGAAGTTCAAAGCTGTGTTGCTCAAAGGCTAACCATACTTACATTTCATAAGGGAAAATGTGTAATAGTTCAATGTGTGAAAAACAGATACCAATGTGTGAAAAACAAGTTACTGAGTCATGGTAACTTGGAGGCTCCAGAATTTATCTAAAATATCATTAAGACCACAGTTTATGAAAAAATTAAGTAGGTGTTGGTGGCCTAGAACCTAGGCTCGCTAAGACGTGGTGTCAAAATAACTACAAGAAACAAAGGAAATGAGTATATGTGCTGCTGAAGCGAGCACAAAACAAAGGAAATTATTGTTAAAAAATGATAGGTAAAAGTGCCTTACATGTTTTTGTAAGATTTAATGCCTGCATAGACAATAGCTGAAAATACACACATTACCATAGTTGCTTAATGAGATGAGTTTTAAGGAGAAACTATAAATTCCTACAGAATATCCTCATAAGCATTTTAAGGGCTGCTAGTGAGTTAGGGTTTAGATATTTTATTTGTTTCTAAAGTAGTAATTAAAGGATTAACCTCTTCAAACAATGTTAATAAAACATCCTTTATTTTAAAACCTTATTCATTAAAAAAAAACCCTTCTGCCTACAAACTTTTATTGTATTTGCTTTATAATAAGGAAAGAAATTATTGTAGAAATATTAGAAAACAAAGACAAGCAAAATAAAAATATCTACTATCCCACCACTAAAAATTAGTAACCACTGTGGACATATGGTATATATCCTACAGGGATTCCTAGGTGTTTCTGGGGTGTATATGTGTATGTTTTTATATATTTATATATTTTATAAACACATATCTCTACATGCATATCTATCTATCACTTAAAAGCAAACCCCATCAATTTTTAATGGTGGATTTTCACAAATTTAGAAATGTCTTCTCTGGGGACATAAATAAAAATGAAAACAAAGGCGATTTCTTAGTGAAGTCTTAGAAATTTTAAAACTTCCTAGAAAATTACTACATGGATCTTATTCTTTTGAGGTGAAAGTGGTAAGACAGTCTGTTTTTAGAGCCAATTAATGTGATATTGGCATTTGGTCAAAGGAGGAGAGCTGGGACTATGACAAGCAAAAAATATCCTTGTGGCCTTTCTTTTTGTTGTTCAGTTGCCAAGTCATGCATGACTCTTAGTGACTCTATGGGCTACAGCATGCCAGGCTCCCCTGTTCTCTACTATCTCCTACATAGAGTTTGCTTCGATCCATGTCCACTGAGTCGGTGATGCTGTCTAACCATCTTATCCCCTGCAGCCCATCTTCTCCTCTTGCCATCAGTCTTCCCCAGCATCAGGGTCTTTTCAATGAGTGGGCTCTTTGCATCAGGTGGTGAAAATACTGGAGCTTCAGCTTCAACATCAGTCCTTCCAGTGAATATTCAACATCAGTCCTTCCAGGGTTGATTTTCTTTAGGACTGACTGGTTTGATCTCTCTGAAGTCCGAAGGACTCTTAAGAGTCTTCTCCAGCACCACAATTCAAAAGCATTCATTTTTTGGCGCTCAGCCTTTTTTATTGTCCAGTTCTCACATCCATACATGACAACTGGAAAAACCATACCTTTGACCATACAGACCATTGTTGGCAAAGTGATGTCTCTGTTTTTTAATATGTTGTCTAGATTTGTCATAGCTTACCTTCCAAGGAGCAAGCTTCTTTTAATTATCATGGCTGCAGTCACTGTCCACAGTGATTTTGGAGCCCAAGAAAAGTAAAATTTGTTACTACTTCCACTTTTTCCCCTTCCATTTGCCATGAGTTGATGGAAGTGAATGCCATGATCTTCGTTTTTTGAATGCTGAGTTTCAAGCCAGCTTTTTCACTCTCCTCTTTTACCTTCAAGAGGCTCTTTAGTTCCTCTTCACTTTCTGCCATTAGAGCAGCATCATCTGTGTACCTGCAGTTGTCGACATTTCTCCCGGCAACCTTGATTCTAGCTTGTAATTCATCCAGCATGGCATTTCATATGACGTACTCTGCATATAAGTTAAATAAGCAAGGTGACAATATACAGTCCTGTTGTACTCCTTTCCCAATTTTGAACTAGTCCGCTGTTCCATGTAAGGTTCTAACTGTTGCTTCTTGACCAGAATATAGGTTTCTCAGGAGACAAGTAAGGTGGTATTCCCAGACAAATAAGTCTGGTATTCCAAACTCTTTAAGAACTGTCCACAGTTTATTGTGATCCACACAGTCAAAAGATTTAATTTAGTTAATGAAGCAGAAGTAGATGATTTTCTGGAACTTGCTTGCTTTCTCCACGATCCAATGAATGTTGGCAATTTCATCTCTGGTTCCTCTGTCTCTTTGAAACCCAGCTTGTAAACCTGGAAGTTCTTGGTTCACATACTGCTGAAGCCTAGCTTGAAGGATTTTGAGCATTACCTTGCTAGCATGTGAAACAAGTGCAAATGTGCAGTAGCTTGAACATTCTTTGGCATTGTCTTTCTTTGGGATTGGAATGAAAACTGTCCTGTACCAGTCCTGTGGCCACTGCTGAGTTCTCCAAATTTTCTGACATATTCAGTGCAGCATTTCACATTCAGCATACCAGTCAATTTCACAACATTTATCTTTTAGGATTTGAAATAGCTCAGGTGGAATTCCATCACCTCCACTAGCTCTGTTTGTAGTAATGTTCCCTAAGGTCTACTTGACCTCATACTCCAGGATGTCCAGCTCTAGGTGAGTGACCATACTGCTGTGGTTCAGCTCAGTTCAGTTCAGTCACTCAGCTGTGTTTGACTCTTCGCAACACCATGGACTGTAGCACGCCAGGCTTTCATGTCCATCATCAACTCCCAGAGCTTGCTCAAAGTCATGTCCATCCAGTTGGTGATGGCATCCAACCATCTCATCCTCTGTCATCCCCTTCTCCACCTGCTTTAATCTTTCTCAGCATCAGGGTCTTTTCCAATGAGTCAGTTCTTTGCATCAGGTAGCCAGAATACTGGAGCTTTAGCTCAGCATCAGTCCTTCCAATGAATATTCAGGACTGATTTCCTTTAGGATTGACTGGTCGGATCTCCTTGCTGTCCAAGGGACTCTCGAGAGTCTTCTCCAACACCACAGCTCAAAAGCATCAATTCTTCGGTGCTCAGCTTTCTTTTTGGTCCAATTCTCACATCCATACATGGCTACTGGAAAAACCATAGCTTTGACTAGACAGACCTTTGTTGGTAAAGTAATGTCTCTGCTTTTTAATATGCTGTCTAGGTTGGTGATGGCTTTTCTTCCAAGGAGCAAGCGTCTTTTAATTTCATGGCAGCAGTTACCATCTGCAGTGATACTGGAGCCCCCAAAAAGAAAGTCTGTCACTGTTTCCATTGTTTCCCCATCTATCTGCCATGAAGTGATGGGACCAGATGCCATGATCTTCGTTTTTTGAATGCTGAGTTTTAAGCCAGTTTTTTTCACTCTCCTCTTTCACTTTCATCAAGAGGCTCTTTAGTTTCTCTTCACTTTCTGCCATAAGGGTGGTGTCATCTGCATATCTGAAGTTATTGATATTTCTCCTGGCAATCTTGATTCCATCTTGTGCTTCATCCAGTCCGGCATTTCACATGATGTATACGCATATAAGTTAAAATAAGCAAAGTGACAATATACAGCCTTGACATACTCTTTTTGCAGTTTGGAACCAGTCCATCATTCCATGTCTGGTTCTATCTGTTGCTTTTTGCCCTGCATACAGATTTCTCAGGAGGCAGGTAAGGTGGTCTGAGAGTATTCTCCACTCTTTAAGAATTTTCT